GTCACGGAGCACCGTCAAAATTGAGTAAATTACTATTTTTTACATTATAGTATTTACAGCCATACCTTTAATAAATGGAGCTGAAACAAAATAAAATTTACATGTTTAATAAAGTATTGCTGTATTAATCAAAATGAAATCAGGTTATGTAATATGTCGCTCCATTTAAAAGATATCAGTTTCTAAATAAATATGGACTTGATTAAAAAAAGCAAAAAACCATGACGTTGGTGACGTCACGGAGCAGCAAGTAGCGATAAAATTGTACTTTACATTCGAGAAACTTCTTTAACAAGCTTAAAAATTCCGTATAAACCATGATCTGTATGAAAAATAATCTGTGTATTTGTAATAAATGGAAAATACAGTTCTTTAGTGGTAGCGAGTTTGAATCGGACGATGGATTGCGTGCAAAGAAACAGGCTAAAGTTAAAAATATTGTCGAAAGAGTTAGGAACGTCATTGAACGTGATGAGTGTTTCACTGATGCAGAATTAATAGAGTTACATGGTAAATTAAAGAATTTGAAAACAATGACATTCTTATTCGAGCTATATTTGTACATTTGTTCGCAAACTATGTGTTAAGTGTTATGGATATGTTTTTTTGAACGGAGAAGACGCTACAAACCGTGTTTGAAATTAAGAAAATAAGTATAATTTTGACAAACTTTCTCAACGTTGTCTTTGACGTTACGATATTGGTTAACCGTGCTCCGTGGTAACAAAACATATTGGTTTAAATTTTGGCTAACATGAGTTCTATTTAATCAAATGAAATGAAACTTCACACTTCGACAAAATAAATGTTTATATTTACGACAATGTGTTGATTAATATTCTTGTAATAATTATATGACGATGAGAAGCATTGTCTACGTATTTTTTGAATGACCCTCGTACAAATGGGTAAAAATTTATGCCTGGAAACCCTATGATTTAATGTTCTAAAATCAAAGTATGGGTCATGACAAATTAAAAAATTGGGTCATCACAGGCAACAACTCATTTAAGGAAGATAACTCTTGATGAAAACTAAAATCTAAGGAAAATCACATAAATTGGTATCTAAGAAGTTTATTCCATAATAATGACAAAAAGTTACTTTTATATTGTTATCTTTATATAAAATTAAAGAATATAAAATAACAAAACATACTGGTAAGAGTGTTATTAAAAAAAATTACAAAATGGTCTTTTTGTAAAAATAAACGTTCAAGTTCATAATGTCATTTGCAACATGCTTTTACCATGGAGCATTAACAATTTGAAAGAGAAATATTTATAATTACACATAATTACACATTACACAATTACATTAGAAAAGTCAAAACACTTTTCCCTTCAATTATTTGAACACCTTTTTTTTTTTTACTTTTTTGCAAGTCAAAAATTATGAATGAATCTCATAGTTCAATGTACAAAATTGATTTACATAAATGAAAATGGTTTGAAGTTCTGCAAATGCACACTGTTCAATGCGTTATCGGCTACTCAGTTGTCATCGGACACTCGGTTGATAACAATTTTTGACAGGTTAGTAAATTATTTTAAATAAACTCTTTTGAAATAGAAACAGAGAATATTTATTGTGATTTTTGTAAACAGAAACGAATACGGATACAAAATAAAGCCCCGCTACGTATTACTATAGCATTTTTTAGCCTTTGGCTTTAAAAGTCAAGATTGTTATATTTTGCGAGTTTTTCTCCGATTGGCATTAATGTAAATAGCCTTTTTCTTCAAAATTCTTATATTTACCTTGTGTTAATGATTGTCCACAAGAAGACTTCCACAGAATCTTGCGAATATGTAATTAAAGAGCAAAAATTGCCCAATTTTAACTTTCAGTATGTTATCGAAAATACGGTTGAATAATGCACTTTGTTATCGGATAACTCGGTTTTGGTTATCGGAAACAAAGGTTGTCCTAGATTTGGGGAAAACACAAAGAAACGACAGAAATCCGTATGAAACCTAAATATTTAAAGTGACTGGCACGAAATTCTAACTTTTGGCTATCATTTGCCTCTTTTAAGAATATGTAACTTTTAAAAAATGAGTGCTTTTTTGGCATTTCTCATTGAAATCTGCATGATCTTGACTTGTTCGAAAATATGGTATAAGTTTTAAATTCATTTCAAGGCACCGAGGTCGCCCGCGTCAGCGCAGTGGTTAGAGTGTCTGCTCTAGAGTCGCCAAGGAGTCGATCCTTACGTCGCGGGTTCGTATCCCACAGTGGGACGTCGAAGTTGGTGCTAGAAAAAGATCCCCCACTGCTCAATGGCCCTGAGTGCTGAGTATATGACAAATTTTGAAGCTCTCCGCCGGCAAGTGATGGCATCTCCATATGACTGGAATATTCTCAAGAGGGCGTTAAACAACATACAATCAAGGTGCTTTTTTATCGACTTAGGTCAGTCGCCGCTGAGATTCAAACTCACAACCTTTCGAACACGAATACATTTATGTTTGGTATATACATGTAAAGCAATTAAAGAATTTAAACTCAAGGGTGGTTAGATGAATTTCCAAATAGGTAGTTAGACCAAAATATATGACATAGAATTCAAAATTTTGAGAAGAAAAGAGGTTGACTTTAAAATATTACAAAATCTAAAACATCACTAAAATATCGGAGGTTGTTTAACGTACCAAGAAGGAATAAGAACCCCCTGATGAACGGTCACATCCCGCAGTGTGCTCAAATTCAATGTGTAGATAGCGCTAATGCTTGGATGAAGGGGGGGGGGCTGACATGGATTTTGCATAGCTATTGAAAATTTCTGGCACCAACCCTCCCCCAATTGTAATTGAAAACGTAAATAACTGTTTGTAGAAAAAGTTAAACATACCAGGAACTAAAGTGAATCAACCAGCACCCCTTCCACACAAATACTAATAAATATTTTAACGGTTGGAAAATGGGTTATATATATTTTTGAATTAAAGTGTTTCTAACACAATAATATTCCAGTAGGCTCCCTTAATTTTATTAATATTTTTATACCCCCCGCTTGAAAAGCGGGAAGGTATATAGTTATCAGTATTTCCGTCCGTCCGTCTGTTACGGTTTGGGGTACCCATCTCTTATCCGCAACTCCTCTCATACCACTGAAGGAAATTTAATGAAACTTTCACAGAATCTTTATTACATATTGCCATTGTGCACCTCCTATTATACTTCTTGATCTGACATACATTTTGGTTTTTCCAGAGCAAAACATGGACACTGCCATTTTATTCATATAGGAGGCGGGGGTATCATTTAGTGAGCTCATTGGTCACAGTACATCTAGTTTAAATATTTTTTCTAGACCATGCTTTTTGTTAAAGGATATAAGTGACTTTAATTTATTACATATCCAAATTACATTGTATTAAAAAAGAATTAAGAATTATTTTTCTTAAATGTTGACAGCTGTCTGATTGACACAAGATCACATGATCAAGTATTTAAAAAAGTCATATAAACTGGGTGATTCTATTTGAAGCTTCTAAAATATGTTACCGTTCTTCTGTGGAGCAACATAAGTCCTGACCTCACATCACAGGCACTTGTTTCATATACGGGGTACCCCTACTTAAGCCACACCTGCTATATATATGTAACTGTGACGTGATAATAAATTGACCTTACTGGACAAAAAATTAGTACCCCGGGGATCATGGGGGAAATCGAACTTGTTTTTTTTTTGTTTTGTTTTTTTGTTTTTTTTTTTAAAGATAACGTAATACATGTATATCGGAAGTCTAAAGCAAAATTGTTATGATTAATTAAACATAATATGTTTACGTCTGAAACCCCCTGAAGCGGTTCCAAGAGGTTATCTTGAATGAAAAATAAGAAAAATGATTGAACAGATAAGTAGTTCTATTATAAATTTATAATTATTAAATTTATTTATATACATTCATATCAAAACAAACTTTTACGTTTGCTATTTTCAAGGATTGGCAAATTATAATGGACTTTTCCCAATATATTTCTGAAGCTAAAGGAAACTTTTTAACCTGAGTTTCCGATAACATACACCCATCTAAAACCGAAGTATCCGGCAACATCAACCGTGTTGACGATAACATGTCTTCAACTTACGAGACATTTTAAAAGACTGATTACTAGCCCTTAATTTGGATTTTTAATCTCAGTTTGCTGATCTAAAGGTATCTGATTGTCCATAGAATAAATAGACCAGTTTGTTTGATAGAATAAACTAATTCTGAATTTTACAGAAGTTAAAATGTAATGACATATTCAGAATTTTTTGTAAAATATAATTTTAAAGAGTTGTAGATCTTTTGAAAGAGAGTGATTTGGTTTGTGCTTTCTGCTGCTGAAAGTATAATCGATTATCTGTCATAGATCACAAACTTTGTTTGCTGAATTACATATTTATTGTTGAAATATGAAGTTTAAAATTACCCACATTTTCTAAACATTGCTTTTTTAGCACCGAGTGTCCGATAACAACCGAGTTGCCGATAACGCGTTGAGCAGTGTGAAATGCGAATTTATAATTATATCTAGAATTTAAAAATGTACACAAAAGAATAAAAAAAAAATTTAAACAGAAATACTGAAGTTAAAAATTTATAGCGACAGTAAATTGTATCAAAGCAGAGTGATGAACATTCGATACAGAATGACTTAGAAAATAAATTTCAAGATTTTAATGATACAATAAATAGTACTTGTGATATAAATGTAGATACTATAAGGACTCCGACAGTAATCTCATAAGGTATGTGTTACACTTTGTAGAGGATCCATAATACAGACCAACTTGTTTAGATACAATTGATTAATTTATGTGGCAGCAAAAAATTCACACAACTTTGGGACAATATTTTGTAGAACTTTAGATGTTCCAGTCACTCTAGGTTTGCCATCACTGGTTTTGGGAGAAAACATAAATTAATCAATTTTCACCATTTCTGACATAGCTATAGATCAGCTTAGATGAGAAAGTGCCATCGTCTCTGCCAGACTCATGAAACTTTGCCAATCAGCATACACAAATACCCGTAGTTCTTTAATTTTTCAGCATTGAACACCTGTTGAAAATGAGAAATATTTTTGTACTACAAATGATTGTTTTATACAGATTAATAATGTACATGTGATTCATTGAAAGTTTGCAGCAGAGATTATTCCGTCCAACATGACGGGGTAGTCTATTGCATGTAGTCAAATATTTTTCTTACACTGATTCTCGAGCAAATTGATAAATAAACATTTGATTTTAGAGCCACCAAGTTTAAAATATATGTATCTACTAAATGATATAATAAAACTGTTCATACCTTCAAAATCCTTTCATGTATTAATTGTAGATTTAATGTTGACGACACATTGAGGGTCTCCCACAATGAACTGTAGATTATAGCTACAAAAAGGATAGATTCAATTATATTACATGTAATTATTTAGATGCATGAACATGTAAATCCTATTTATAAATTATATGCCTTATCCAAAATTGCATGGTTGCAGATGAAATTTTAGATGAGGAATTAAGCTCCAATGTTTTATACTAATTTTCAATGCCTAAATTATATTTTTTACTAGTTGTCAATGCCTAGATTAGATAACATAAATTCTATAAACAAAATATATATAGATATAAATGCTTACCTGTTACAATCTGTGTATTGAGTATTGACACTGAAGTTCTGCATCCCTTTGGATTTTCTCAGCTTTTGGGAACACCGATGCCAACTGCAAGCAATTTCCGCACTGTATGTACAAAAACCACCTAACCAGAGTTTCATTCACATTCAATTGCTCTTGCAAAAGAATAATGGTCCGAAGTGACAATTTGAACGCAATTTGAGGCAATGAACATCAAACTCGATGACCCTCCGAGTCATCTTACGAACTCTTAGTCTCTTACTGGTTAAAATTAGGGTTATACCATAACAGCATTCCTCACAAATATGCATGGAATCACAAATAAGTTTATTTCACATGTACGATCTTCTAAAGCCTCGGCGCGCGTCAAATTATGTCTTTTCTTGAACCGTTCCTTCCCTGTCCGACTTTTCATGGGCGCCGACATCTTGAATTTTATAGTCTTGGAGACATCGTTTTATTTTAAAAGATGTACATTTAAACGGATTTAAACAACAAATTCGTTATCATCTTGTTGTTTTCTTTAATTATCTATCAATTGAAATAAAAATATTCGAATTGTGGCCTTTGAAATTGACTCGAACTGAAAAAGCATTTTATTCCGTAAACTACCGAGATCAGTCCGAAGTTTACCGAAATTACAGCCTATTTCAACGACTAATAGATAACTTAACAACTTGAATTAAAAAATTCATTCAACGACTAGTTCTAGGTTTTTAAAAGATTCAATGACTAGCTAAATGTAAGTTCTTCATCTTTTTAAAATGCTTGTGCCATATATTCAATGTTTAGTTCGTGTTTAAAAGTATGTGTCCAAGATTAAAATTTGGATCCGCCAATGAACTCTCAATCGCATCATCTCGGGTCTTTCTGTCAAATGTCGGAAAGCTAGTCGGAAAGGCCCGAGAAGTTGCGATTGGTGAAGCGGAGTCAGTCGAAGATGCCGATTGAAACTCTCTATAATTCTCGCGCATGCGTAGGCTGGCGTATGCCCAGGGCATCCTGTTAAGCCTCCCTTATATATTTACTGCGTGGACCTACGCGGCATCGGTCAGGTCAGGTCACCTCATGGGCCAGGTCTCGGGTCCTTATTTCACCATGTTCACCTCAAAAGGGGTAATTAATTGTAAAGTGTTAACAATGAACTAGCAATTAGACTGTAAAAGTCAGTCAGCATTCGACTTAAAGAGAGATTGTACTTGCTGAAAAGGTCATTATTACACCACTGAAGAGCAGCTGGTTGCAATGAAAGATCCAGTTTTAACATGATTTGTATATCGTATCCAGTTCCTTGCAAGGTGTGATTTGTTTTGACGACTAAATTTGTAACAAGTTGCGTGTTTGTTTTTTTACTTCATCTTTTGAATGCTTCATGCCAAGTATGTTTTCCATTGTTTAAAGAGGAATTTTTTTTTTTAAATTTATTTATTTATTTATTTTCAATTCTTCATACAAACAAACAGTGAAATATATAAAACAGACAAATTACATTACAAACAATATGACAATATTACCTTCAGACAATTTTATGCAAAATTTTTAAAAAGTTTGTAGTCAAGTGATTTCAAATTTTTCAGAATGGAAGCAAAGAAAAAAATTGAAGATTTAACGTGATTGAAGATGTTATAACTAGTTTCATCTAAGGAATTTATTCGACAGTACATCTTATATTTGTAAATTCTACAGGCAACATAAGAGATGAGTGTGTTGAGTGATACAATTTTTCTATTGCGCTCAGAGCTAAATCCAATTATTACATGATATTCCATTTGATATCTATTTTCAGGTACAAACTTAATCTGTTCCATATTACAGAAACATTTCTACATTCAAAAATGAGATGTTTTGAAGTTTCATTCACGTGGCATAATTTGCAATGACTACTCGTTTCTTTTTTCCATTTACTGAGATAGAAGTTATTACAAAGAATATTGTTTAAAGAGGAATGTTAAATGTAAAAATTTTTAAATAAAATGAAGACACGGCAAGACATATATTTATTTCAATAAAATCAAATTTATCCATTGAAATTATATTTAAATCAAATCAAATACATCTATTGAAATTATAATGATATAATTATATTATATTCCAACATGCAATGTGGGTAAAAAATGTGTCAAAAGTAAAAGTTTTTTAAAACTTGTAAGATTATCTAATCCAATGCCTTTGCACTATCATGTCTTGTTTTAGTGTTTATTACAAGGAATTGAATCTTCTAGGTCGGCTTGTGACTCACACACCAAGCTCAGACGGTGTTCTACCATTTCCCTAATACAATCGTGTGATCCAAATATTGATATGCTTTAATGAGGTTATGATCAACACTTTGTTTTGCCGTCTGGAAGTGAACTATGACCTTTACACCATGTCTCTATATAAACGAACACAACATCAAGATAGTGACCATCTTCTAGCGTACGTGACTCGTAAGCCAATTGTGAGTGTTCGACGTATCCTCCAATCTTTTTAAAAAAGGCTCGATAATTTGCCAGATTTTCCTTTCCTTTAGCCCAATCAAATCTTGGTCCTGCCCAAGCTCGATACTCAATGGTCCATACATCAACTATTATTTGTCTAGAGATTAAGTGATCTCTCATGCTGTTTAGCACCACCATTTCCCCGCCTTCAACATCCAACGAAAAGTAATTAATGTGGAAAACACCGATTAATAGTAATACATCAATTAATAGGAAACAAGGTACTTTGGTTCTTTTATACCCTTTCAATTGAATGACGTGACTCCTTGCCATATCTTTTTCAGAACCCCCTAGTTCATCTCCTTCTATAAACGTTGTTTCATTTTCATGTGCCACGCATGCGCACAGACGCCAGGTTTTGCGTTTGACACGGTCAATGTTCGGACATGATCGTGGGTTTCCTTCTATCAGCAATCCTGTCCATTTATGTTTTCTCTCCAACCACAAGGTATTAGAATGAACCTTACCATCATAAGCTCCCATTTCTATAAAAAATCCGTTTTTCTTTGGAAATATGTTATACACAGCTATATCTTGACCTGCTTGGGAATAATGTTTGTCAACTGGTTCTGAAAAAGGACTGTAAGTATGAGGCTTCCGCAAATGCTTCCAGATTTTTGAAGAAATTACATTTGTTTCTGACTTTGGGGTGGGTTTGGTTTGTTGTAAAATGCTATCAATTGATGTAACATTTCGTGTTACAATGAAGCTCCTTACAAATTTTAAATCACCTTCCAAATCTCTGTAAAAAATGAAGGAACTGTACTTCATCAAAACAAGGCATAAGCATCCAAGTATGAATAGGAAAATGGCTTTTTGATGCTGGTTGCAGTTCATTGTGGATAGAATTTAAATCCAAGGAAAATTAAAATAACCTGTAATTTAATCATTTCTTTTAATTATTTTCTTTCACATCACAGTGCATTTTGACAAAAAAAAAACATTATCATTACCTGCTATTTTTTTTTAAATAAGTTATTTAATTAGTAAATATAATTAAGCATTTTTATAATTAGTTTAAAAGAAAACTTATATCAAATACAACAATGCTTACATCATATATTTAGTACTTTAAATTTCAATTTATTTACATGCATGTAATGGGAAAAATCATAACATAAACTTACTTTACTGTGTTTTTATTATCTACACCATCAAAACCTTACCTTCCATTATATTCCACGAAATGTCCTCTTTTTGAAAGCTTTCCGGTGACTTGTATGTGAACACATGTATATGCAGTTTATTGCATCCAAAAGTAATAAAATGTACATTAAAAACATTTAGCCTTTCCACATTTCAAAATGTCCCATTTTATATTAAAAGACACGATTAAAATGAATCTATTTTTTTTCCATTGATGAACATATATTAATTCGGTCCTTTTATTAAAAAGAAAATTTAGTAATAATAATTCGGATTTTCTGTATATAGCATAAATTCACATAGTTACGTACACATTTACTGCATTGATTCAGGTTCAATGACTGCTATAGCCAATTCAACGTATCCACGAATTAACAAAAGTCCATATGTGAGATGAAAAGATTAATTAATTCGAAGAACTCGGATCCATTGAGATCATCAAATAAGTTTTTATCCATGGCAGTGTCAGATGTGGTAAAATAATTCTCAACCATAGCAGTGAAAGATGTTGTAAAAAAAACCACGTTATTTTGGGGGTGATGCATTTATCTCAAACTTATGAATACGCTCATCTTTGTAAGATCTTTCAATCAATAAAATTTCTTTACAATTTGATAAGGCTATTTTTTCTACCCTTGTTGAGGACAAGCCATTGTGTATTATTAATCTTTTGTGAAAATGTCCAGTAGTATTTCTATACAGGATAATCTGCTTGGCCCTTTAATTTTTAATAGGAAAAGTCCATACACAAAATATGTATTGGGAGGTTAAATCGATAAACCAACGTACAAAGTTAAAGTTACATATTGAATTGATCTCTAAGCAAGCAATTCATTTAAGAGAAAGTTTAGTAGTCAATTGTTTTCATTTTTACGAAGATCAATTCTATCGCAATAATATATATGTTAACGTTTCATTGTTTATGTAGCAGTCACAGTCTTTCGATACTTTCAATAGTCAATTATTTGTTGAACATATGAGTATAAATTTATTTCTATAGAAATGCAACTTCTCTTAGAATTAATTTTAATTGCTTGAGAAAATTCGGACAGACAAAGCAGAGATGAATTAATTTTTTCATATATTTTTTTCTCTAAATTTAATAATTAGATGATAGCTATAGCATTGAATTATAATTTAATAACATATCGGTATAATTATTTAAAAATGTGCATACTTGAGTAATATATTGAAGTCGAACATCAAACCTTTGGGGTAAGGAACTGCATTCATATGATATCGAACTGCTTACTGCTAGCTGCTTTTAATTGATAACATATACCCCTCCCTCTAAACAATTTTATCTTTTTTTTATTCGATAAACAAGACATCGATTTATTATTCTTCTCCTTATGAAAATGTTGCAGTTTATTGCAAGAAAGCTAACTCCGACTTTCTTTTAAATTAAGAAAAAAATTAATGAAATATTATTGAGCTCATATTTAATTAATCTGCTACTCGTCGTTTTTGATAAGAGAAACAAAAATTAAATGAAAAAAGCAAATGATAGGTCTATACCCTATATGTCTGGTATCTTACAATTTTACACCAAACCTCGTTGATTTTTTTTAAAACACTTGAAGTATTTTTTTCCGGATGTGAACTGATATAAAGAACATAAGTGTTAATTATAACAGTGGAGTAAATGTCCTTTATCTTTGAGACGACTCATAGAAAATTGTGACAAAGGTCTCATGTACCTGTATGACAATCACGTATTTAACAAATACTACTGAAGTATCTTGATTTCATTTTTGATACATTACATAGTTTCAAAAAAGCCGTAAACATATATAAATGTACTTTTGGTAAGTTTTGGTCAGTTTTTTTTAATTAAGTTTAAAACTCGCAAATCACAAACTTAATTCATATCCACAATCATGTTTTACGTAAAACAGAAATGTCAAATTTTATATGGATTTTAGTTTATACTAAAAAACAAATGGTAACATTTTGAAACACGTTGAGCAATCAACTTAACAAATTAATGACAAACCGTTCGTTTTTACTTGAATTGTTGAACATCTGAACTTCACACAGTTTGAAGCTTTGTAACATTGTAAATATCATAGAACTTTCAATCTTATTTTTTTTTCACCTATTTAAATCATTGTGAATGCATTTCAAATTGCAATAGATTTTTTTCACCTGAAAAGAAGAGTGCATTTTGGCGCCGATAATTTGAAACTCAGTGTAAACTGCTCTCAATTACAGCTCTTTTTAAAGGACGCGATATAGAATTCGATCCATTCAAATCAGTTTTTAAAAATCACCAGAGTTTTAAAGACTCATTGATGAAGGTGGACGATTCTTAAATCGTTCCAATAGTAGTATTAGGCGCTGTCATGAAATCGGTTGATTTTTATATTTTTATTATCAGTCTATATTCAAAATTCTCATTATTTTGGCTATCATGAAAGAAATTTAGTTTAAGGTGTTCAGTGATAATATATACATAACAAGCTTCAAAATATCAACACATGAAACCGAAATTTATACTTCGAATACTAAATACATGCTTAAAGCAATATCGATCAGACTTTAAGTATATAGAATTTTAATGAATTAGGGAAGATAACTTAGCCTAGTTAAAATTTTATCACAATACGTTATGACTCAAATATACAGAAAAAATGGACTATAATGTTCATATAAGGTCGTTTTTTACACTTTTATATAATGTAAGAACAATGTATCATTTTGATGCCTAAAACACCTATTTCAAAATTCAATTTTAAAATGAAAGTAAATCTGTCTCCATTTAGGTGATCATAATAACAAAGTTTTTGAGATCTATGAATGCATTTAACTTCATTATTTTAAAGCCTTTATTCAATTCAAAGAAACAATCATGCAACAAATATTTTTGTGTGTTTTTTTGATTTGAAAAACGGTTTGTTTTAGTAAAAAATAACTTAAATGAAAAGAACTTAAGCATATTGGAATATAACAGCGCATTTCTTTAATTTGTTATATAAGACTAGTAAAGGTACACCTTGTGGTGTGCACTGAATTTTTTTTCGAAAGTATCTCCCATATTGAGGCATTTCCCGTTGGGTTGTGTACTTAAATTGTCAACAGGAGCCTAGACTTAACTATGTTAAGGACACGTTCCCATGTACGCGGACTATTTCGGTTGTAAGAGCAGCCTGATTGAGTTCTGAGTTCTACAACCAGCCACAACGTAATTCCAGATGACTGAGTCCCCGCGTTGAACAATGACATATGTACAACATGTACAATAAAATACACCTCTTGGGTAAGAGCCCGGAGGTACAACCACACAAACGCATGTACACACATTTATCCTCACATTCACAACCATCATGAGTACTCTCTCAAAACACCAATGCATTCATCATACTGGTTCACTCTATTCATGATGTGTATTATTAACTGAGTGTTACCATATCAGGGGAAAAGTCCATGAAATCAGATTCAAAGCACTTCATTTTGAATTTAGTTTGGCTTATATCATGTATATCTTTACATAAATATTAAAATTTACAAAACAGATGTCGTCTTAGTGGGAATAGGACTCAGGTAGAATACAATGAATGAATACCAGCACATATACCGGTCGCCGATACGCTTAAGACAAAATAAGAAAAATATCTAATCACTAATGAGCCGTATTCTCTTATATATTCTTCATATAATTCATTTTTTTATAATTCATTTTATTGTCATTTACATGAAAAGATAATTATATATATTTACCTTTTTATTTTCTTATATTCATATACAGACTGATGGTAAGGACATTTCTTTTAAAAGAAAGAAGAATGACACATATTTGTTTATATTTCTTAGTACTTTAAAATTTTAACGAATATTTTTTAATGTATTTTACCCATGCTGGGATCAACTTTGCTGACCTTATATATTGATTTTGATTAAGAAATTCTTTATCTTTTTTCAAGGCATTTTAGATGAGAAAAGTCTTTACAAAAAAATTCTTTTTACAAAATTTTGATAAGTTAGCAGTTATGATTCATTGAAAGTTGCGTTAATGTCGATGAAATTCAGCAAATTTTTACCAAAAATTAGTTGTAGGAATATCAAAACAAAAACTATTATGAAAAGACGTATTTGATCATTAAGGAAAGAACAACGATTGAAAACTATTTTTCCAAAAAGTGAATTTAGTTGATAAAAATCAAAGGTAATACTATATAACTTTTCAAAAGCAGGACAATGTTCTTTCTTACATACTGATACTAAGTCTAAATTATGAAAATTATGTTCTATTATACTGACTATTCAGCCCATTCAATTCCATTTCATCTAAGTACAATATGGGTTATATTACTACCTTTTATTTATGTAAGCCGTTTCAATGTTATCATTTATTTTTAGATGATATTTTACAATTTATATTACTTCTAGTGTATTTTATTAATCATTTATTTAATTAATTAACTATGCTCATCTTTGAATTTGTTTCCCTCATTTTCATTTTACATTTCACTAATTGTAATTTGAGAATCGACAGGGGATAAAAACAAACTAGAATTCACTAAAGCAAATAAACACTCAAAATTAGGCAAAACCTACGTGTGCAAGTAAAAAATCTTAGACTATGAACTTTTTATGGCATTACGTATGTTTATGTGGTTTCATCTATTCGCTGTATCCATTTTATGGTAAACATCTTCGTTAACTAAACCATTTTTTACATTATATTATTATAAAACATTACAATTAAATTTAATTTTAACTGGATTCTCAATTAAATTGGCAGGGAATCACCTTTGCAAGTGATGCTTTCTCTTCATAGCACCTGCTCCAATTTATGATGTTTTAGAGGTCGAGTGTTTGCTCTGCTCTTAATATTAGCTCACGTAAGCCGACAGATCAAGTGAGTTTTTCTGATCAAAATTTGTCCGTTGTTTTTGGTCGTTGTCGTTGTTGATGTTGTCGTCGTCGTTGTAACCTTTTTGAATTTTCTTCTTTTTCTCAAGAACCACTTGACTATTTTCAATCAAACTTGCCACAAAGGCTCTTTGGGTAAAAAGGGGATTCACTTTTTTTTAAAAGAAAGGCCACCCCTCTTCAAAGGGAGAAAATTATGAATTAATGAAAAATGAATGGATTTTTTTCAAAAATCTTGACGACTGTGACAGATTAGATGAAATTTATGTGGATGCATCCTCAGGTAGTGTAGATTCAAGTTAGGTAGGGTGGAGCCACAGTTGGGGATCAAAGTCAAACATAGAAATGCATAAAAATCTTTTTAAAAATTCTCAAGATCCATCGGATTAGAAAAAGATGAAACTCATGTGACAGCATTGTCAGGTCGTGTAACTTGAAGTTTGTTCAAATTCCTCGGGATAGCATGGGCCACTATGGGAGATCAAATTTTAACATTGGAATAATCTTTAAAAATCGTATCCTCAAGACCACTGGGTTTGGGTTGGTCCAAATGGTTAGATTAAAGTTTAAACTTACTTATAAAATAGGAATACTTATGAAGTACCACTGGACCAGGAAAAGATTAAACTCATGTGGAAGCAGCCTGAGGTAGTGAAGATTCCATTTTTTTCAAACTGACCCCGAGGAAGGTTTGGGCCACGATAGAAGTAACGAACAGTATTCAAGATCAAAAGTCCACAAAACAATACAAAATAGGGCAGAGCAAACACGGACCTCCAAAACATCAGAGAAGGGAACAGGTTTACGCGTACGAGGGATGTTAGAGAAGTTCGTGGACACATTCATTTACAGAAAAATATATTTATGTGTACTGCGAAGTATGAACTACGTCTGATTAAATTTCTACCTTTTGTTTATGAAAAAAAAAATGAAGCAAATCTTCTAAAAAAGTAAAAATAATGAACTAGTTTTACTTTGCTGTCGTATGATGGAGCAATTCCATTCAGGAGATTCAGATTCCTTGATTCGATACGCCAGAGCATGCTCTACGTATGAACAATTTCTAAAACGAGGTAAGTTATTGACAAGCAAGTTGACGAAACAAGAATATCAGCAGTTTCGTTTAAAGTCATTATTTTTTAAGTTCTATGGTCGCTACAATCCATCGTCAGCGAATACAATTTATCACTGAGTCAAATGCTGACCGACTTTTTCATACCAATTGTTAGTCCATTATTTATACACTGAATTGACGGCGGATTTTTTCCGTTATTTCCTGATCGTGACAAGGAGCACACGGCGGGTGTGACCGGTCGGCAGGGGATGCTCACTCCTCCATGGCACCTGATCCCACCTCTGATGTTTCGGGGGTCCGTGTATGCTCTGCTCTTATTTTGTATTGTTTTATGAACTTTAAGTTTGAATACTGTTCATTATCTCCATATCCTTCAGGAAGAAATCACTTGTCGTTTAGTGACTTGACAATAAAATTTCAAATCCCGTCATGTTACTTTTTTTCTGCGATTTTTAGCCTTCCGGCATGGCAACAATACAAATTCCATTTGCACAACTTCCATGCCATAAGGTATCGCAGGAGCTGATCATTAAAGAGGTTAATCTTTCCATTTTATAAAACTGTAACTTTTTTTTTATTTTTCGTATATTTTTAAACATGTTTCCTTAGAACTGTGAACATAATATTTAGTGGTTCGGTAGTCTATAACGTTCAATAACGTTCCCATTTTGGCATTATTTATGACTTTTTATGAGTACACTAGCGACATGTAAAATATAATTCTTTCTGCTCTACATCTGTGGAATATTTAATTTCACTGAGAAGAGAAGTCTCTGTTATGTAAAAGAGCAAACGAATTGCATGCTCCATGTAGCATGTTTTATCAAAATATTATCATAGATCTTGTTCACAAACGTTTCCAAAAACCCTAAGGGCTTGTATATATTCCAGTTATGTAATTATTCCCATTTAAGTAATATCAAATTTATTATTATTTTGATATTTTTGAAGGAAACCCATCCAAAAATTTAAAATTCCAATAAATTTTAGACGAAATAAGATTTTTAATATATTTTTGTTTAAAATGCTAAAGTATAAGCCGTGATGTTATACAGAAAACATAAACTTCAAATCTGTGTCTATGCATCTTTAATCGTAACATTTTCATTGTCTCATCGAATTTAAAGTCAACAGCACAAGTGTTTGACCATCTTTTTATTTGTGAGAGTGGTTATAAGATATTATATATAGCTGCGTTTTATACCAATATGTTCCATATGCTCCATTTTGAAAAGAACCAAAACCGATTCGTATCGTCGTACATTGTTGAACACAGTAATATTTATTTTAAAAAATCACAATAAAATACATTTAATCATTCAAATTTGAAACGCTAAAATGGACATTTAAGGTATAAGAGATACAAAACTGAACAACCGTTATTTAATTGGAAGAATTTTCATTTTGGTGTTTACAGAAGGACACTGATAGACCCCCTTAAGTGACATTCTGCTGGCAATACAGTGGCCATTCAGTGACTAGTACTGTGGCTTACTAACAGGCAACTGAAAACTGTTGATCCTGAATGATTTAATGCAACAACGCCCCATGGGGATCCGGTTTAGAATAAGTCCTCAGTACCCCTAGCTTGTCGTAAAAGGCGACTAAATGGGGTGGTCCTTCGGATGAGACCCCGTGTCACAGCAGGTGTGGCACGATAAAGATCCCTCCCTGCTCAAAGACCGTAAGTGCCGAGCAAAGGCCTAAATTTGCAGTTCCTCACCGGTAATGGTGGCGGCTCCATATCAGTGAAATATTCTGGAGAGGGACGTTAAACAGTACACAATAAGTAAATCATTTAATGCAACAACAAAAACGAACTTTATTAAAGAATGAATATTTTTATTTATAAGAAACAATTTTTGAAGTATATAGCCGAAAGAGGACAGATGAGTGGAATTTCTGGTGTCCCATTTTTGTCTACGTCATAATCTAATAGATCAGACTAAACACATCACAAAGGAGCAAGAATGACGTCATCAATAGCTACGTCTCCTCTTCTGGAGCTCCCTTTGGTGGCCTCTAGGACAATCTAATTATAGAATCAAAATATGACAGGAAATTAAAAGCTTTTTGTCCCTTGTAATATTTAATTTATCTTTACATGTATTGAGTCACGGTTTTATGGATATAACAAATCTTAATATTACGTTATTTTCAAATTTTGCTGAGTAAATGAAAATCATAGCACTGACGTATACATAAATAAATATCAATAGGCCTGATTAAAAAAAAAAACTAGAGTAGGTATTTGAGATTACGGTTATGAAGAAGATAATTATATCATTAAGAAAAGGATGTTGAAAGTTGACTTACTTTTGTGTCTGGATCCAGAGGGATTTGGAGTTCTACTTTGTGCCATTTATTCTTTTTATTTCCACTCACTGAAAAGTGAACGTTGTCTGCAGCTCCAGACTTGGACGTAAATATCGAAAATGTTCCCATTCCTTCGCCTTTCATGTGGTAATACAATGTCAGACGGTAGGTCTTACCTTCAAATTAATATAATTTTTTTATATATGTATATACATTTACATAATCTTGCTTTTGTCATTTTAAAAGGTAATCTTCGTCGTTTTTTTTTAAATTTATTTTCAATTTCAGATTTTGTTAAGTGTTTGTAAAACATTAAGTTCAAACTATGGCACCAGGCCTAAAAATATTTTAAGTTTGTTTAATTAAAATTAATATGATAATTGTAGTAATTTCTTATCAAATTATCTTACTCTTGAATTGAATTGATATAATTTGTGAGTCGTAGGGTGTCAGCTGTGGTTTATGGACTTTTTATTTCAATCAAATTCTTTAACAAGGCGAAAAACCAATTATCACTTAGAAAGAACTTACTTTCAAATTCAATGTCATCGGAGCTGCTTATGCAATACTTTTCTCCACTTTTGCCACATGATGCGTCAAAATAAAGATAATGCTCTCCTTTATAAGCTCCTTTTGGACCAGTTCCAGGCGTATTTGTTTTCCCCTGAAATATAATCTTGAAGGCTTATAAAATGTGATGTCACGTTTAATTAAGGAATGTTTTTAAGTTTTGTGTGAGTTATTGGTGTGTGAATCACACAGACTTGTCACGTAGGCATATTCCATGAAGCGCACTAGCGCTTCATGAAAAATATGCCTACGTGCAAGTCTGTGTGATTCTCACGCCAATAATTCAAACTAAACTTAAAAACATTCCTTATATTTACATTTTACATGTTTGGAAGCACCGAAAATATACTCAATATTTGAATTTATCGCTGCCCTATGTTATTATAATTTTACTAACGTGGCTGTAGCCCTATTGTGACGTCACGGTAACGCACGTTTCTCCGTGTATATTTCTACGCGTGATTATACACAAAAATGATTTTCAAATCAATTTCACAGTTAGCTTAGTAGAAAAATACAGCGAATGTAAATTTTTGCCAATATAAGTCCCCTTTCTTAAGCACAAAAGTGAATAAAAAAGTTTTGAATGCACATTTAACAAATACAGTAAAACACGGTTATAGCGAAGTCCTGGGGACCTGTGAGTTTAATTCCCTTTATCCGTAATTCGTTATATCCGTATGACGAATTCGTATCACCATATATAGCGAATTCGCAATATGCATGTTTTCCTTCAAGTGTTACTATTAAATATGTTAGGGAAGCAAATATTACAAAACATACCTTCGATAACTAAGGTTTTATTATGAATTGAATTTTATATACAAATACTGAGAGGAAATAAAGTTAGTTCAATTATTCAAATTTTGAAATCTTTGAAAGTTCGTTATAAAAGATGTACAATTCATTATATTTAACCTCAACGAGACTCAAAATCAGTTCGCTATATCCGTAAATTCGTTATATCAGAGTTCGTTATAACCGTAAAATATGACAAAGATTTGTTAAGAATTTTGCCGGGGACCCAGAAAAACTTCGTTATATCCGTGAATTCGCTATACCCGTGTTCGTTCTAAACGTGTTTTACTGTAAACATAAGAAGAACATAATATGGCAATGATTCCGTTCAATTTTGATCAGTCTTTTAAATATCTATCAAGTTTAATAAGAAGAGTATCAAACGTTTTTTTTTATAAATTCTTTAATATTGCAAAAGGTTTTTTTAGTCTATTTCAAGGCTAATGTGCTACAGATTTGATGATAGTTTACGTGACATAAAAATACGAATTTTGTAGCAGTGTATATCAGGAAAAAGGAAAGGTCAATCTCAATAAGAATACATGTACAGATGTTCATTTATTAAAGATAAGGGTAAAATGAAATTCAAAAATTAAAACAATGGCTTTTAATTTGAGCATTTGTGTCCACAAGATAAATCATCAAAACTTGCCTTTTAAAATGATCGTATTTTTAAGAAAAGTACAAAGTGTATTATCTCACCTTTCCTCTAAACCAGCAGCATTCCTGTGTATGAAGAAAACAGGAAGGTTCATTGTCTTCTTCAAATCCACAGGAACGATCTTAAAAAAAAGGATTTTTCCCTCCGAAATATTATCACAAGGCAAACAAAGTTTAACCACCCCTCTTCATATATCACAAAGCAAACTAAGTTTAACCAGTCCTCTACATATAACCACAAAGCAAACTACGTTTAACCAGTTCTCTACATTATACCACAAAGTAATCTAAGTTTAACCAGTTCTCTACATTATACCACAAAGTAATCTAAGTTTAACCACCCTTCTTCATATAACCACAAGGCAAACTAACTTTGACAGGTCCTTTTTCGACTCAGAATGAAAAATTAACTTTCATAGAACTTTTTTCGAATTAATTTATAAACTATTTCTTGGAAACATTGTTATATTTTTTATAGATAAAATGAGGGCTTTTATACAACATTTTTTCCCTATCAATAAATAAAGCTTTATTCAAAATTTCATCATTAAGAACAGACAGAAATACATGGAATAATAACACACCATGACGTTAAATACTAATTATTATCTTTTTATTAGCAATTCCAATCATTAAAACTATAAACAATTATTTGCATAATATTTTATTCGTGATTCGTCCGTTTAAAATCAATCTGCGATGATTAATTTTCACAAATAAGGAAAATATTCTTCAAAATAAATGATTCATGTAGATTATTATTTGAGAGTTAAATTCAGTAGGTTGCGAAACTTGCGATTATTTCTCGCACACGAATAAAAGATTTGCAGTTATTTTTCGCACACGAATAAAAGTTGGTTGTAACAGTATTAGTATGTCGGTACGTTTTTGGCTGATCGGTGTTCCTTAACAAAACAGAAAAAACATTGACTATATTCCTTTACACATCTTATAGACAATACAATTCATAAGTATTTCTTGAAAGATTTAATAATCGGTTTTGCTAGAAATAATTTACCTTCACATGTTGTACCCACCAAACCCGCTGGACAATTACAGGTAAAACCGTTTGCTCCACTGACACAAGTTCCTCCATTTTTACATGGTTCAGAAACACAATAATCGACAACTGAAATAGAAGTTAACATGAGACTAATATAACTGTAATATCTACACATACTAAAAAGGTTATCTTAAAGCTGTAAACATGTAGTAATTTTCGATAGACCTTCTCAGCAAAATTGTTCAATTTATCGTAAAGTTAAATGATGGCTGACGTTTTCACTCGACTTCCGGTTGAACCAGTTTTGTGGAACAATTTTAATCTTATTGTTTGCTGCTTACTTGATGACGTTGTTATCTTTAGTTAACATGTTTATGTTTGTCAATCTATGTGCAGCAATTTTTCGTGCGTGGGATGTATGAGCTTTTTATTGATTTATTTTTTACAGATTTCTCTAAAGGAACCCGCTGCAGACGCCATACTGTCTGCTTTTGTACGCACTTCTAGTGTGAAACGCCGCATACAGTGTAACTTTCTGATGAGTTTTTAAATAGTAAAAATGGAGAGAACTCAACTACAAAGAAAAAATTGAAATCTTTTTCTTCAAAAATTGAATAGACACGACTTTATCCTTTCTTTCAATTGGTCACACCTCAATAAACATTGTAGTTATTTACTAGGTTTAACAATAAGATTTCTTTATTTTTTCTATAGGACAGATGAGACGGTCCTCAATGATATATACTTTTTAAAGATTTTATCATTGAAGAATTACTACTTTAACATGTTTAACATAATTACTCTCAAAAAATCAGGGTATCTTACCGGGCGTTTTTGTGAGATACCAGAGGATGGCATTTCGTATAAAATCCTTTAGGAAAAAATACTTAGTTTGTCAAAATAACATGTTAAGAAAACAGAAATTGATTAGAATTTTTGTATATTTTTCAAACATTATGAAGATGTTCATTACAGATATTACAAGGCAAACAAAGATAAACCAACACTCTTCATATTTCACAAAGCAAACTAAGTTTAACCAGTCCTCTACATATAACCACAAGGCAAACTAAGTTTAACCAGTCCTCTACATATAGCCACAAGGCAAACTAAGTTTAACCACCCCTCTACATATAGCCACAAGGCAATTTGAGTTTAACCAGTCCTTTACATATAACCACAAGGCAATGAAAGTTTAACCACCCCTCTACATTATACCACAAAGTAATCTAAGTTTAACCACCCCTCTTCATATAACCACAAGGCAAACTAACTTTGACTGGTTCTTTTTCGACTCAGAATGAAAAATTAACTCGGAAGTTAGGTGGGCCCTTTTTTCATAGAACTTTTTTCAAATTAATTTTAAACTATTTCTTTGAAAAATCGTTATATTTTTTTTTTTGATAAAATGGGGGATTTTATACAACATTTTTTCCCTATCAATAAATAAAACTTTATTCAAAATGTTCATCATTAAGAACAGACAGAAATACAAGGAATAATAACACACCATGACATTAAATACTAATTATTATCTCTTTCTTAACAATTCCAATCTTTAAAACTATAAAGCAACTTTTAATTGCATAATATTTTATTCGTGATTCGTCCGTTTAAAATCAATCTGCGATGATTAATTTTCACAAAAAAAGGAAAAATATTCTTCAAAATAAATGATTCATGTAGATTAATACTTGAGAGTTAAATTCAGTAGGTTGCGAAACGTGCGATTATTTCTCGCACACGAATAAAAGATTTGCAGTTATTTTTCACACACGAATAAAAGTTGGTTTTAACAGTATTAGTATGTCGGTACGTTTTTGGCTGATCGGTGTTCCTTAACAAAACAGAAAAAAAAACCACTGACTATATTCCTTTACAAATCTTATCGACAATACAATTCATAAGTATTTCTTGAAAGATTTGATAATCAGTTTTGCTAGAAATAATTTACCTTCACATGTTGTACCCACCAAACCCGCTGGACAATTACAGGTAAAACCGTTTGTTCCACTGATACAGGTTCCTCCATTTATACAGGGATCAGAAACACAATAATCGACGACTGAAATAGAAGTTAACATGAGACTAATATAACTGTAATATCTACACAAACTAAAAAAGTCATCTTAAAGCTGTAAACATGTAGTAAATTTTTGATAGACCTTCTTAGCAAAATTGTTCAATTTATGGTAAAGTTAAATGATGGCTGACGTTTTCACTCAACTTCCGGTTGAACCAGTTTTGTGGAACAATTTTAATCTTATTATTTGCTGCTTACTTGATGCCGTTGTTATATTTAGTTAACATGTTTATGTTTGTTAATCTATGTACAGAATTTTTCGTCAGTGGGATCTATCAGATTTTTTTTATTGATTAATTTTCACAAATAAGGAAAATATTCTTCAAAATAAATGATTCATGTAGATTTATACTTGAGAGTTAAATTCAGTAGGTTGCGAAACTTGCAATTATTTCTCGCACACAAATAAAAGATTTGCAGTTATTTTTCGCACACGAATAAAAGTTGGTTGTAGCAGTACTAGTATGTAGGTACGTTTTTGGCTGATCGGTGTTCCTTAGCAAAACAGAAAAAAAACCACTATCTATATTCCTTTACACATCTTATCGACAATACAATTCATAAGTATTTCTTGAAAGATTTGATAATCAGTTTTGCTAGAAATAATTTACCTTCACATGTTGTACCCACCAAACCCGCTGGACAATTACAGGTAAAACCGTTTGTTCCACTGATACAGGTTCCTCCATTTATACAGGGATCAGAAACACAATAATCGACAACTGAAATAGAAGTTAACATGAGACTAATATAACTGTAATATCTACACATACTAAAAAGGTTATCTTAATGCTGTAAACATGTAGTTCATTTTTGATAGACCTTCTCAGCAAAATTGTTCAATTTATCGAAAAAGTTAAATGATGGCTGACGTTTTCACTCGACTTCCGGTTGAACCACTTTTGTGGAACAATTTTAAACTTATTGTTTACTGCTTACTTGATGACGTTGTTATCTTCAGTTAACATGTTTATGTTTGTCAATCTATGTGCGGCAATTTGTCGTGCGTGGGATGTATGAGCTTTTTATTGATTTATTTTTTTACAGATTTCTCTAAAGGAACCCCCTGCAGACGCCATACTGTCTGCTTTTGTACGCACTTCTAGTGTGAAACGCCGCATACAGTGAAACTTTCTGATGAGTTTTTAAATAGTAAAAATGGAGAGAACTCAAATACAAAGGAAAATTGAAATCTTTTTCTTCAAAAATTGAATAGACACGACTTTATCTTTTCTTTCAATTGGTCACACCTCAATACGCATTGTAGTTATTTACTAGGTTTAACAATAAGATTTCTTTATTTTTTCTATAGGACAGATGAGACGGTCCTCAATAATATATACTTTTTCCAAGATTTTATCATTGAAGAATTACTACTTTAACATGTTTAACATGTTAACCCTCAAAAAATCACGGTACATTACCGGGCGTTTTTGTGAGATACCAGAGGATGGCATTTCGTATAAAATCCTTTAGGAAAAAATACTTAGTTTGTCAAAATAACATGTTAAGAAAACAGAAATTGATTAGAATTTTTGTATATTTTTCAAACATTATGAAGATGTTCATTACAGATATTACAAGGCAAACAAAGATAAACCAACACTCTTCATATTTCACAAAGCAAACTAAGTTTAACCAGTCCTCTACATATAACCACAAGGCAATTTAAGTTTAACCAGTCCTTTACATATAACCACAAGGCAATCTTAGTTTAACCACCCCTCTACATTATACCACAAAGTAATCTAAGTTTAACCACCCCTCTTCATATAACCACAAGGCAAACTAACTTTGACTGGTTCTTTTTCGACTCAGAATGAAAAATTAACTCGGAAGTTAGGTGGGCCCTTTTTTCATAGAACTTTTTTCAATTAATTTATAAACTATTTCTTGGAAACATTGTTATATTTTTTATAGATAAAATGAGGGCTTTTATACAACATTTTTTTCCCTATCAATAAATAAAGCTTTATTCAAAGTTTCATCATTAAGAACAGACAAAATACATGGAATAATAACACACCATGACGTTAAATACTAATTATTATCTTTTTCTTAGCAATTCCAATCATTAAAATTACAAAGAAACTATTATTTGCATAATATTTTATTCGTGATTTGTCCGTTTAAAATCAATCTGCGATGATTAATTTTCACAAAAAAAAAGAAAAATATTCTTCAAAATAAATGATTCATGTAGATTAATACTTGAGAGTTAAATTCAGTAGGTTGCGAAACTTGCGATTATTTCTCGCACAAGAATAAAAGATTTGCAGTTATTTTTCGCACACGAATAAAAGTTGGTTGTAGCAGTACTAGTATGTCGGTACGTTTTTGGCTGCTCGGTGTTCCTTAACAAAACAGAAAAAAAACACTGACTATTTTCCTTTACACATCTTATCAACAATACAATTCAAAAGTATTTCTTGAAAGATTTGATAATCAGTTTTGCTAGAAATAATTTACCTTCACATGTTGTACCCACCAAACCCGCTGGACAATTACAGGTAAAACCGTTTGTTCCACTGATACAGGTTCCTCCATTTTTACAGGGATCAGAAGCACAATAATCGACGACTGAAATAGAAGTTAACATGAGACTAATATAACTGTAATATCTACACAAACTAAAAAGGTCATCTTAAAGCTGTAAACATTTAGTTAATTTTTGATAGAACTTCTTAGCAAAATTGTTCAATTTATCGTAAAGTTAAATAATGGCTGACGTTTTCACTCGACTTCCGGTTGAACCACTTTTGTGGAACAATTTTAATCTTATTGTTTGCTGCTTACTTGATGGCGTTGTTATCTTCAGTTAACATTTTTATGTTTGTTAATCTATGTGCAGTAATTTTTCGTGAGTGGGATCTATAAGATTTTTTTTTTTACAGATTTCTCTAAAGAAACACTCTGCAGACGCAATACTGTCTGCTTTGTACGCATTTCTAGCGTGAAAGGCCGCATACGGTGTAACTTTCTGATGAGTTTTTAGATAGTAAAAATGGAGAAAACTCAACTATAAAGAAAAAATTGAAATCTTTTTCTTCAAAAATTGAATAGACACGACTTTATCTTTTCTTTCAATTGGTCACACTTCAATAAACATTGTAGTAATTTACTAGGTTTAACAATAAGATTTCTTTATTTTTTCTATAGGACAGACGAGACGGTCCTCAATAATATATACTTTTTGTAAGATTTTATCATTGAAGAATTACTACTTTAACATGTTTAACATGTTTACTCTAAAAAGATCACGGTACCTTACCGGGCGTTTTTGTGAGATACCAGAGGATGGCATTTCGTATAAAATCCTTTAGGAAAAAATACTTAGTTTGTCAAAATAACATGTTAAGAAAACAGAAATTGATTAGAAATTTTGTATATTTTTCAAACATTATGAAGATGTTCATTACAGATATTACAAAGCAAACAAAGTTTAACCAAACACTCTTCATATTTCACGAAGCAAACTAAGTTTAACCAGTCCTCTACATATAACCACAAGGCAATCTAAGTTTAACCAGTCCTCTAGATATAACCACAAAGTAATCTAAGTTTAAGCAGTCCTCTACATTATACCACAAAGTAATCTAAGCTTAACCAGTCCTCTACATTATACCACAAACTAATCTAAGTTTAACCAGTCCTTTACATTATACCACAAAGTAATCTAAGTTTAAGCAGTCCTCTACATTATACCACAAAGTAATCTAATTTAAGCAGTCCTCTGCATTAAAACAAAGTAATCTAAGTTTAACCACCCCTCTTCATATAACCACAAGGCAAACTAACTTTGACTGGTTCTTTTTCGACTCAGAATGAAAAATTAACTCGGAAGTTAGGTGGGCCCTTTTTTCATAGAGCTTTTTTCAAATTAATTTATAAAATATTTCTTGGAAAAATCGTTATATTTTTTTTGTAAAATCGGGGCTTTTATACAACATTTTCTTTTCCTATCAATAAATAAACCTTTATTCAAAATGTTCATCATTAAGAACAGACAGAAATACATGGAATTATAACACACCATGACCTTAAAAACTAATTATTATCTCTTTCTTAACAATTGCAATCTTTAAAACTATAAAGCAACTTTTAATTGCATAATATTTTATTCGTGATTCGTCCGTTTAAAATCAATCTGCGATGATTAATTTTCACAAAAAAAGGAAAAATATTCTTCAAAATAAATTATTCTTGTAGATTAATATTTGAGAGTTAAATTCAGTAGGTTGCGAAACGTGCGATTATTACTCCCACACGAATAAAAGATTTGCAGTTATTTTTCTCACACGAATAAAAGTTGGTTGTAGCAGTACTAGTATGTCGGTACGTTTTTGGCTGATCGGTGTTCCTTAACAAAACAGAAAAAAAACACTGACTATATTCCTTTACACATCTTATCAACAATACAATTCATAAATATTTCTTGAAAGATTTGATAATCAGTTTTGCTAGAAATAATTTACCTTCACATGTTGTACCCACCAAACCCGCTGGACAATTACAGGTAAAACCGTTTGTTCCACTGATACAGGTTCCTCCGTTTTTACAGGGCCCAGAAACACAATAATCGACGACTGAAATAGAAGTTAACATGTACGAAAGCCCAGAAGGCTCATTCGAGATTCAAGTTTCGAAATACGAGATTCAAAATTCGAGATTCGAAATTCGAGTTTCGAGATTCAAGATCCAGATTAACCAATCAAAAGGCTCATTCGAGATTCGAGTTTCGAAATACGAGATTCGAAATTCGAGTTTCGAGATTCAAAATCCAGATTAACTAATCAAATACGGGTTCAACATTTGATTACTTCCCTTTATTACGTTTTATCTATCAATAAATCGTTTAATATATTTATAACAAATGAGTCATTTGAATAAATTACAATACAAGAAAGAGTGTTATATATATTAGAAGGAAAGTTAAATAATCATTTGATTTTTGACCAGCAAGATATACTTCAATTTATATTATGACTTCTTAAATATTAAATAGAATACATATATCAGGAATATATATATTTTTGCATTGTCTACTGTATATAAACGGTTGCTGACATAATAATACAGTTATAAATAGTGTCTAAAGATTAACAAAATCCGCACCCCTACCGGCAACACCTGCCAATTTTTTCCGACACTGAAAATGTTACTTTAAAACTTTGAAAGGCAATGTAGTCTTGATAAATAAAAACCGCGCTCGTTTTCCTAATAGAGGGAATACATTGAAATAAAGTTTTCAATTACTTATGTTCATCTAAGGCTTTGATTTCTTGAACTAATTAACAATTATATATACAATACAGATTGCAAATATTAATTAGAATAAATGCAGCATTCATTTTATCTGATATCAAACAGTAGATTAGTCTAAATTAGCTGCAGAACTATAGCGTTATGGTCAAAGACTAAAATATACTCGGTTTTTATTTATCAAGGCTACAAGGATTTTGTTAATCTTTAGTCACTATTTATAACTTTATTATTATGTCAACAATCCTTTATATATAGTAGACAATGCAAAAATATATATATTCCTGATTATGTATTCCATTTAATATTAAGAAGTAATAATATAAATTGAAGTATATCTTGCTGATCAAAAATCAAATGATTATTTAACTTTCTTTCTAATATATATAACACTCTTTCTTGCATTGTAATTTATTCAAATGACTCATTTGTTATAAATATATTAAACGATTTATTGATAGATTAAACATAATAAAGGGGAGTAATCAATGTTGAACCCGCATTTGATTGGTTAATCTGGATCTTGAATCTCGAAACTCGAATTTCGAATCTCGAATTTCGAACCTCGAATCTCGAATGAGCCTTTTGATTGGTTAATCTGGATCTTGAATCTCGAAACTCGAATTTCGAATCTCGAATTTTGAATCTCGTATTTCGAAACTTGAATCTCGAATGAGCCTTCTGGGCTTTCGTAAACATGAGACTAATATAACTGTAATATCTACACATACTAAAAAGGTTATCTTAATGCTGTAAACATGTAGTTCATTTTTGATAGACCTTCTCAGCAAAATTGTTCAATTTATCGAAAAAGTTAAATGATGGCTGACGTTTTCACTCGACTTCCGGTTGAACCAGTTTTGTGGAACAATTTTAAACTTATTGTTTACTGCTTACTTGATGACGTTGTTATCTTCAGTTAACATGTTTATGTTTGTCAATCTATGTGCGGCAATTTGTCGTGCATGGGATGTATGAGCTTTTTATTGATTTATTTTTTACACATTTCTCTAAAGGAACCCCCTGCAGACGCCGTACTGTCTGCTTTTGTACGCACTTCTAGTGTGAAACGCCGCATACAGTGAAACTTTCTGATGAGTTTTTAAATAGTAAAAATGGAGAGAACTCAAATACAAAGAAAAATTGAAATCTTTTTCTTCAAAAATTGAATAGACACGACTTTATCTTTTCTTTCAATTGGTCACACCTCAATAAGCATTGTAGTTATTTACTAGGTTTAACAATAAGATTTCTTTATTTTTTCTATAGGACAGATGAGACGGTCCTCAATAATATATACTTTTTCCAAGATTTTATCATTGAAGAATTACTACTTTAACATGTTTAACATGTTAACTCTCAAAAATTCACGGTACATTATCGGGCGTTTTTGTGAGATACCAGAGGATGGCATTTCGTATAAAATCCTTTAGGAAAAAATACTTAGTTTGTCAAAATAACATGTTAAGAAAACAGAAATTGATTAGAATTTTTGTATATTTTTCAAACATTATGAAGATGTTCATTACAGATATTACAAGGCAAACAAAGATAAACCAACACTCTTCATATTTCACAAAGCAAACTAAATTTAACCAGTCCTCTACATATAGCCACAAGGCAATTTGAGTTTAACCAGTCCTCTACATATAACCACAAGGCAATGAAAGTTTAACCACCCCTCTACATTATACCACAAAGTAATCTAAGTTTAACCACCCCTCTTCATATAACCACAAGGCAAACTAACTTTGACTGGTTCTTTTTCGACTCAGAATGAAAAATTAACTCGGAAGTTAGGTGGGCCCTTTTTTCATAGAACATTTTTCAAATTGATTTTAAACTATTTCTTGGAAAGATCGTTATATTTTTTTGTAAAATCGGGGCTTTTATACAACATTTTCTTTTCCTATCAATAAATAAAACTTTATTCAAAATGTTCATCATTAAGAACAGACAGAAATACAAGGAATAATAACACACCATGACATTAAATACTAATTATTATCTCTTTCTTAACAATTCCAATCTTTAAAACTATAAAGCAACTTTTATTTGCATAATATTTTATTCGTGATTCGTCCGTTTAAAATCAATCTGCGATGATAAATTTTCACAAAAAAAGGAAAAATATTCTTCAAAATAAATGATTCATGTAGGTTAATATTTGAGAGTTAAATTCAGTTGGTTGCGAAACGTGCGATTATTTCTCGCACACGAATAAAAGATTTGCAGTTATTTTGCACACACGAATAAAAGTTGGTTGTAAGTTTGTAAAAATAACATGTTAAGAAAACAGAAACTTATTGGAATTTTTGTATATTTTTCAAACATTATGAAAATGTTCATTACAGATATTACAAGGCAAACAAAGTTTAAACAACACCCTTCATATTTCACAAAGAAAACTAAGTTTAACCAGTCCTCTACATATAACCACAAGACAAACTAAGTTTAACCAGTCCTCTACATATAACCACGAGGCAATTTAAATTTAACCAGTCCTCTACATATAACTATAAGGCAATCTAAGTTTAACCATCCCTCTACATTATACCACAAAGTTATCTAAGTTTGACCACCCCTCTACATTATACCACAAAGCAAACTAAGTTTAAACAGTCCTCTACATATAACCACAAGGCAAACTAACTTTGACTGGTTCTTTTTCGACTCAGAATGAAAAATTAACTCGGAAGCTAGGTGGGCCCTTTTTTCATACAACTTTTTTCAAATTAATTTTAAACTATTTCTTGGAAAAATCGTTATATTTTTTTTTTTTGTAAAATGGGGGCTTTTATAAAACATTTTTTTTTTCCCTATCAATAAATAAAACTTTATTCAAAATGTTCATCATTAAGAACACATAGAAATACAAGGAATAATAACACACCATGACATTAAATACTAATCATTATCTCTTTCTTAACAATTCCAATCTTTAAAACTATAAATCAACTTTTATTTGCATAATATTTTATTCGTGAATCGTCCGTTTAAAATCAATCTGCGATGATTAATTTTCACAAAAAAAGGTAAAATATTCTTCAAAATAAATTATTCTTGTAGATTAATATTTGAGAGTTAAATTCAGTAGGTTGCGAAACGTGCGATTATTACTCCCACACGAATAAAAGATTTGCAGTTATTTTTCTCACACGAATAAAAGTTGGTTGTAGCAGTACTAGTATGTCGGTACGTTTTTGGCTGATCGGTGTTCCTTAACAAAACAGGAAAAAAACACTGACTATATTCCTTTACACATCTTATCGACAATACAATTCATAAGTATCTCTTGAAAGATTTGATAATCAGTTTTGCTAGAAATAATTTACCTTCACATGTTGTACCCACCAAACCCGCTGGACAATTACAGGTAAAACCGTTTGTTCCACTAATACAGGTTCCTCCGTTTTTACAGGGCCCAGAAACACAATAATCGACGACTGAAATAGAAGTTAACATGAGACTAATATAACTGTAATATCTACACATACTAAAAAGGTTATCTTAATGCTGTAAACATGTAGTTCATTTTTGATAGACCTTCTCAGCAAAATTGTTCAATTTATCGAAAAAGTTAAATGATGGTTGACGTTTTCACTCGACTTCCGGTTGAACCACTTTTGTGGAACAATTTTAAACTTATTGTTTACTGCTTACTTGATGACGTTGTTATCTTCAGTTAACATGTTTATGTTTGTCAATCTATGTGCGGCAATTTGTCGTGAGTGGGATGTATGAGCTTTTTATTGATTTATTTTTTACAGATTTCTCTAAAGGAACCCCCTGCAGACGCCATACTGTCTGATTTTGTACGCACTTCTAGTGTGAAACGCCGCATACAGTGAAACTTTCTGATGAGTTTTTAAATAGTAAAAATGGAGAGAACTCAAATACAAAGAAAAATTCAAATCTTTTTCTTCAAAAATTGAATAGACACGACTTTATCTTTTCTTTCAATTGGTCACACCTCAATAAGCATTGTAGTTATTTACTAGGTTTAACAATAAGATTTCTTTATTTTTTCTATAGGACAGATGAGACGGTCCTCAATAATATATACTTTTTCCAAGATTTTATCATTGAAGAATTACTACTTTAACATGTTTAACATGTTAACTCTCAAAAAATCACGGTACATTACCGGGCGTTTTTGTGAGATACCAGAGGATGGCATTTCGTATAAAATCCTTTAGGAAAAAATACTTAGTTTGTCAAAATAACATGTTAAGAAAACAGAAATTGATTACAATTTTTGTATATTTTTCAAACATTATGAAGATGTTCATTACAGATATTACAAGGCAAACAAAGATAAACCAACACCCTTCATATTTCACAAAGCAAACTAAGTTTAACCAGTCCTCTACATTATACCACAAGGCAAACTAAGTTTAACCACCCCTCTACATTATACCACAAGGCAAACTAAGTTTAACCACCCCTCTACATTATACCACGAGGCAATTTAAGTTTAACCAGTCCTCTACATATAACCACAAGGCAAACTAAGTTTAACCAGTCCTCTACATTATACCACAAAGTAATCTAAGTTTAAGCAGTTCTCTACATTATACCACAAAGTAATCTAAGTTTAACCACCCCTCTACATATAACCACAAGGCAAACTAAGTTTAACCACCCCTCTACATATAGCCACAAGGCAATTTGAGTTTAACCAGTCCTTTACATATAACCACAAGGCAATGAAAGTTTAACCACCCCTCTACATTATACCACAAAGTAATCTAAGTTTAACCACCCCTCTTCATATAACCACAAGGCAAACTAACTTTGACTGGTTCTTTTTCGACTCAGAATGAAAAATTAACTCGGAAGTTAGGTGGGCCCTTTTTTCATAGAACTTTTTTCAAATTAATTTTAAACTATTTCTTGGAAAAATCGTTATATTTTTTATAGATTAAATGGGGGCTTTTATACAACATTTTCTTTTCCTATCAATAAATAAAACTTTATTCAAAATGTTCATCATTAAGAACACATAGAAATACAAGGAATAATAACACACCATGACATTAAATACTAATTATTATCTTTTTCTTAACAATTCCAATCTTTAAAACTATAAACCAACTTTTAATTGCATAATATTTTATTCGTGATTCGTCCGTTTAAAATCAATCTGCGATGATTAATTTTCACAAAAAAAGGAAAAATATTCTTCAAAATAAATGATTCATGTAGATTAATATTTGAGAGTTAAATTCAGTAGGTTGCGAAACTTGCGATTATTTCTCGCACACGAATAAAAAATTTGCAGTTATTTTTCGCACATGAATAAAACTTGGTTGTAACAGTATTAGTATGTCGGTACGTTTTTGGCTGATCGGTGTTCCTTAACAAAACAGAAAAAAACACTATCTATATTCCTTTATACATCTTATCGAAAATACAATTTATAAGTATTTCTTGAAAAATTTGATAATCAGTTTTGCTATAAATAATTTACCTTCACATGTTGTACCCACCAAACCCGCTGGACAATTACAGGTAAAACCGTTTGTTCCACTGATACAGGTTCCTCCATTGATACAGGGATCAGAAACACAATAATCGACGACTGAAATAGAAGTTAACATGAGACTAATATAACTGTAATATCTACACAAACTAAAAAAGGCATCTTAAAGCTGTAAAAATGTAGTTAATTTTTGATAGACCTTCTTAGCAAAATTGTTCAATTTATCGTAAAGTTAAATGATGACTGACGTTTTCACTCGACTTCCGGTTGAACCAGTTTAGTGGAACAATTTTAATCTTATTGTTTGCTGCTTACTTGATGCCATTGTTATCTTTAGTTAACATGTTTATGTTTGTTAATCTATGTGCAGCAATTTTTCGTGAGTGGGATCTATAAGATTTTTTTTTTACAGATTTCTCTAAAAAAACACTTTGCAGACGCCATACTGTCTGCTTTTGTACGCATTTCTAGCGTGAAACGCCGCATACGGTGTAACTTTCTGATGAGTTTTTAAATAGTAAAAATGGAGAGAACTCAACTACAAAGAAAAAATTGAAATCTTTTTCTTCAAAAATTGAATAGACACGACTTTATCTTTTCTTTCAATTGGCCACACTTCAATAAACATTGTAGTTATTTACTAGGTTTAACAATAAGATTTCTTTATTTTTTCTATAGGACAGACGAGACGGTCCTCAATAATATATACTTTTTCCAAGATTTTATCATTGAAGAATTACTACTTTAACATGTTTAACATAATTACTCTCAAAAAATCAGGGTATCTTACCGGGCGTTTTTGTGAGATACCAGAGGATGGCATTTCGTATAAAATCCTTTAGGAAAAAATACTTAGTTTGTCAAAATAACATGTTAAGAAAACAGAAATTGATTAGAGTTTTTGTATATTTTTCAAACATTATGAAGATGTTCATTACAGATATTACAAGGCAAACAAAGTTTAACCAAACACTCTTCATATTTCACAAAGCAAACTAAGTTTAACCAGTCCTCTACATATAACCACAAGGCAATCTAAGTTTAACCAGTCCTCTGCATATAACCACAAGGCAATCTAAGTTTAACCACCCCTCTACATTATACCACAAAGTAATCTAAGTTAAATCACCCCTCTACATTATACCACAAAGTAATCTAAGTTTGACCACCATTCTACATTATACCACAAAGTAATCTAAGTTTAAACAGTCCTCTACATATAACCACCAGGCAAACTAAGTTTAACCAGTCCTCTACATTATACCACAAAGTAATCTAAGTTTAAGAAATCTTCTACATTATACCACAAAGTAATCTAAGCTTAACCAGTCCTCTACATTATACCACAAACTAATCTAAGTTTAAGCAGTCCTCTACATTATACCACAAAGTAATCTAAGTTTAAGCAGTCCTCTACATTATACCACAAAGTAATCTAAGTTTAAGCAGTCCTCAGCATTATACCACAAAGTAATCTAAGTTTAACCACCCCTCTTCATATAACCACAAGGCAAACTAACTTTGACTGGTTCTTTTTCGACTCAGAATGAAAAATTAACTCGGAAGTTAGGTAGGCCCTTTTTTCATAGAACTTTTTTCAAATTAATTTATAAACTATTTCTTGGAAAAATCGTTATATTTTTTTGATAAAATGGGGGCTTTTATACAACTTTTTTTTTTCCTATCAATAAATAAAACTTTATTCAAACTGTTCATCATTAAGAACAGACAGAATACAAGGAATAATAACACACCATGACATTAAATACTCATTATTATCTTTTTCTTAACAATTCCAATCTTTAAAACTATAAACCAACTTTTATTTGCATAATATTTTATTCGTGATTCGTCCGTTTAAAATCAATCTGCAATGATTAATTTTCACAAAAAAGGAAAAATATTCTTCAAAATAAATTATTCATGTAAATTAATATTTGAGAGTTAAATTCAGTAGGTTGCAAAACTTGCGATTATTTCTCGCACACGAATAAAAAATTTGCAGTTATTTTTCGCACACGAATAAAAGTTGGTTGTAACAGTACTAGTATGTCGGTACGATTTTGGCTGATTGGTGTTCCTTAACAAAACAGAAAAAAAACACTGACTATATTCCTTTACACATCTTATCGATAATACAATTCATAAGTATTTCTTGAAAGATTTGATAATCGGTTTTGCTAGAAATAATTTACCTTCACATGTTGTACCCACCAAACCCGCTGGACAATTACAGGTAAAACCGTTTGTTCCACTGATGCAGGTTCCTCCGTTCATACAGGGATCAGAAACACAATAATCGACGACTGAAATAGAAGTTTAGATGAGACTAATATAACTGTAATATCTACACATACTAAAAAGGTTATTTTAAAGCTGTAAACATGTAGTTAATTTCCGATAGACCTTCTCAGCAAAATTGTTCAATTTATCGTAAAGTTAAATGATGGCTTACGTTTTCACTCGACTTCCGGTTGAACCAGTTTTGAGGAACAATTTTAATCTTATTGTTTGCTGCTTACTTGATGATGTTGTTATTTTTAGTTAACATGTTTATGTTTGTAAATGTATGTGCAGCAATTTTTTGTGTGTGGGATGTATAAGCTTTTTATTGTTTTATTTTTTACAGACCCCCTGCAGACGCCATATTGTCTGCTTTTGTACGCACTTCTAGTGTGAAACGCCGCATACAGTGTAACTTTCTGATGAGTTTTTAAATAGTAAAAATGGAGAGAACTCAAATACAAAGAAAAAATTGAAATCTTTTTCTTCAAAAATTGAATAGACACGACTTTATCTTTTCTATGAATTGGTCACACCTCAATAAACATTGTAGTTATTTATTAGGTTTGACAATAAGAGTCCTTTATCTTTTGTATAGGACAGACGAGACGGTCCTCAATCATATATACTTTTTCTAAGATTTTATCATTGATGAATTACTACTTTAACATGTTTAACATGTTTACTCTAAAAAAATCACGGTACCTTACCGGGCGTTTTTGTGAGATACCAGAGGATGGCATTTCGTATAAAATCCTTTAGGAAAAAATTCTTAGTTTTTCAAAATAACATGTTAAGAAAACAGAAATTGATTAGAATTTTTGTATATTTTTCAAACATTATGAAGATGTTCATTACATATGTTTGGAAAACGTATTATCCGACATTAAAGTAACATATTTATAATTTATATTAAATGCATCATGAACAGATTTTTAAAAGTAAAATATTAATTCTCTTAGGTGGTGCGTTAGCAATTTTGTCTGCTGTATAGATTTTATCCGTATATTTATCCTTTGAACTAAATATTTAACAATATAATTTGTAAATAATCTTTGATTTCTTCTGTGCAAAAGAAAATAAATACAAGCACAGAGAAAATATTGACTTTAGACCATTTCGACATTTTAAACATTGACATTCATGTTGCCAAGTTTCCTTAATAAAACAGATAAAATTATGAAAAATATGTGCATTTATCTCTTCTGATTCCTTGTTTTGTTGCTTGTGTTAACCTTTTTTCTGCTTAAACAAGTAATCTTTTAAATTTAAAGTAAACATTTAAAAAAAAAAATACAAAGTATAAGAATTAAGACAGAGAGAGAGAAGGAGAGACAGAGAGGAAGGAGAGCATGGGGAGAGAGAAAGAGAGGAGAAATAGAAATACCATAATCGTATCGAATACATAAAAATCACTTACTTTCACAGAGCACTCCGGAGAATCCAGGTTGGCATATGCAAGAATTTACGTCAAAACCAACGAATATCCCTCCATTTTTACATTCAGGATCACTACAGCTTGCTGAAAAATAAAGCGAATTATTAAAATTAAAATTAAAGGAGGCTGGGGGTCAACAAATTAACCATAAAAAATTGAATTTTAAGATGTAAAAGTTCAAGCTTTAAACTATTATTTGCAAAGAAAAAAATATTATTTAGTTTTTAGATATGATCATTTTGGTTTATTTCTATAAAAACTCTTCTTCAAAAGAAGATTAAAATAGTCTTTTCCTCCTTACATGTAACCATAGAGGAGACTAGCAACATTGCATCATCATTAAATCGTCTAAAACCCATGCCACTGAAAACTGCCTCAGTTATGTTGCATATGTTACATATCATTGAGATATTACTGTATTTCAATATTAAATGATCAGACAATCTTTTTTTTCTGTTTTAAGCACTTTGTCCTCAGTTAGATGTATCGACAAAATCTACCTAAACAGAGATTTAAAAAATATTTTTAGTAAGAATGTCAATCTTAATATTGTTTATCTAACTTTGTTCAGGAAAAAAACTGAGAACAAATATTATTTACATTATACCGACTGCAATGTTATAAAGGAATTTTTTTCCTTCAAAAGATCAATCATAATTTATTTACAACTCTGTACATCTTAGAGATAAAAAATTACAGGGCTTATTTCCCCTCAAAACTGATACAGGTTAGTAATTCAAAGTAAAATCAACACCTTTAATGATAGCAAGACTGAAAAGGGATAACAGCCCCCCCCCCCCCCCCCCCCAAAAAAAGCACCGAAACAAAAAATCCAACAATTAAAAGGAAAAGCATCGTGATAGTAAAACTTTAGGTAGCTCTCCCCCCCCCCCCCCCCTTGAAGAAAATCCATGATACAGTATTTATGAATCACTTGATTAAAATAGCCAAATCTACTCAATTTTCTCTCAAGAAATAACATAGAATTTCGAAGCAAAGGCGTTCTCCCCGGGGTAAATTTCACGAAAAGGAATATAAATGAAACGATGCTTTATATGAACAGTGTCAGTATAATTTAAGAGAGGAAATTAACCCCGTGGATCTTTGCTATATCTAAATTGCTGCGAGTCATAAATATTGTATCAGTGATTTTCTTTTAGGGAGTTTACCACGAGGAGTCTTCCTCGTTTTAACACAATTATGAATGAACAATTTATTATGGTTTTTCTTTTAATTGAGAATAAGATTTCATTTTTATCTCTGTACATGAAACATTGCATACCCCCACCTAAAAAAAAAAAAAAAAAAAAAAAAAAAAAACACGCTCGCCATATGACTAAAACTATGACGACTCGGCTAAAACTTTTTTAGCTAAAACAGATTTGACATTTAAGAATGAAAATTCAATCAGTTTCTAGAACTGATATTTCTATATATTTTTCATATTCCTTGTAAGTTTCTGATGATTTATTTAATGTTCCTTTACAAGTCTTTCATGCAAAAACGTAATTAAATAGGAAAATATAAATCCATTTCATGACCCCATTTTGTATTTATTCAAATATTTCCATGTATTCTGAATTCAAACCTGACTCAAAAACCTTCAATGCCAAAATATATTTTTTGCTTGGAATTTTTAATGAATATTTATCATACTTTTTATCACATAAAATGTGCATATAAATATTTTGAAAAAGAAAAAACAAAAGTTGTAATGCCCATAGTGTAGAGAATTTTTTTAATCGTCAATTTGTTTAAATAATATATGTACATACCGTTAGAATGACGTACACAAAGCGTTAATATATTTCATTTTCAATCTTTTTTATTCTACGAATTGAAGCTTTTTTAACTATAAGTTAAAACAAAGGAGTCAATATGAGCATAGAAATTACCTTTTTCAAAACCAATCAAGTATACAGCAAGTAATACTACTGCAATTCCCTTCATCTTCATGTCTGTGCAGGAAGGTGTCCAGAATAAGTATTTACATGTAGATGTTGTGCTTACATTTATAGTGGTTATATTTATTGAATTAATGGTACATTGATTTTCATGGTAAGACATTACATGGAGATCTCGCAATTTTTTAATCTGATCGAATATATGCAAATTTTTTTGTTATATCAACATGGAAATCAAAAATGAAATGCAAAGTGCACGTATTTTTGTCTGTAATCATTTTAAATTTTTTTTTTTTGGAAATGTTTTAGTTTAAACTTACACAGAAATCGAAAAAAAAAAAATCAAATAAACAGTCATCGACGAAACAGAATAACAACTTGTTTTGAAATTTGACTTAACCTTTTTTTATGAAACATTGACAAATATACAGTTAACAAAATATTGCTGTAGCCTTCAAAGTTTATACGTGTAAAATGTCATATTCCCATCGATTCTACAATTTTAATCCGAAGAGTCCAACATGTGTCCTATCAATGAGATAGACAGTAAAAAATGAAATAACAATACGAGGGTTGTCCGAAAAGTTCGTGGATAACGACGTTTTTGTGAAAATAAATGGTTCTATATAAATCTTTTGTATACCAAAATATTTCTCATGAAAAAACAAGTCAAAATGATTTAGTTTTTATTGATGGAACGTAAAATTTTTTAAAAAATCGGGGTCTTTAGAGGTCGCGAATAGTGCGCACTGACCAAGGTTAAAATGACATAAACTCTGACATAAAGTGTTCGGATTAAAGTGATTATTTTCACTACAAGACAAGTAAAAAATTAATAAAAAAAATTATGTAACACAAATAAAGAGGCTATAACCATTTTATGATATATTAAGTATCGCTTACTATATAGACAGTGGAAATTCTAAACAAAAACCCTAACAAATATGTGTCAAAACTCGACAAAAAAAGCTACATCGGCCGTCCGCACGGGGCAGAGTCCGATCAAAAAATTGGTTTTTATACGGTTGAAACAACGTAAGATACAAAATATTTGTTAAATCAACTAAAAATTATTGAAATATATTTAGTGTATCAATTTCATATTGGTATATACGATTTTTCAACGTTGTGTACAAATTCGAAGACATTACTAGAATTTAAAAACACATGAAGATTTCTATTCATGACGTTGTTATAAATCTAGCGCAGCGTCAGACTGGGCTGTGCAGTTTGTGTATACAAACTGTTTATTTAGATGACTCCCGTAAATGTTTGTACATTGTTTTGAATTTTAAAGATTAAATAAATTATAATCTATACTTAAATATTATTGCTAGCAATTGGAAGTGCGTTGCGCCTTAAAAGAGAAATGAAGTGTGTGTCTATGAACATGTGTTAAGTCAAAATCCAAATATTTGACGTTATAGTGATATTACCTTAACGTCAGACTGGTCCGTGTGCATAATACGCGATCTTTAAAGACCCCGATTTTTACAAAAATATTAAGTTTCCTAAATAAAAATTTAACCATTCTGACTTGGTTTTTCATAAGAAATATTTTGATATACAATAGATGCATATAGAACCATTTATTTTGACAAAAACGTCATTGTCCACGAACTTTTTGGACAACCCTCGTATAATGCATGAATACCATTCATGAGAATCTTTACTGAGTTTACACATAAATATGTTAACTATAAATCCTATTTTCTGAATTATAAAGTTTCACAATACTTTTAAGATAAATATATACAGAAAAGCAAAATTGAGAATTACTTCCGTTTCCTACTAAACATTGTGAACACATGGGATGTTTACATTTCAATATTCAAAGTTATGCCAAAAGAAAGCAAAAATACTTATGAAAAATATTCTCAAGACAAAAAAATTGTGTCGTTTGAAAATTAGCGACATAAATCAACCAAACTTGTAAGAGATTACTTAAAGCGTCTAAGATTTACATTTGAAATTTCTCCATCTGCTGTGAACTTCCTTGATACTACAGTTGACCAAGGACTGAAATTTAATTTTTTTACAAACTTGATATCAAGTCGTTTATCAAACTAACAAATAACTTTGAGTATCTACACAGACAGAACGTTCATAGTCCAGCTGTGTTTAAAGGATTCATTAAAAGAGAATGCATTAGACATGCAAGAAATACTACTGAGCCTGCCATATTGAATGCGAAGCTAAATGACTTCAAGACGCACTTGTCAAAGCGAGGTTACTCTACTTTGGAAAAGGATCCTATTATTAAAGAAACGGTGAACACAAACCGATCAAAACTCATCATCAAAAAGACTAAGAACAGTCAATGCGTAATCTTATAGTACTGGTTACTAAATTTAACCCTTGCATTAAAGGACTGACAGAACGAATTCTAAAATATTGGAACACCATTCATAGAAATCCAGAATGCAAAGCTTTATTAAATTCTCAACCAATCATAGCTTACAGCAAACACAAGCACATAGGTGACGAGATAATCGGGTCTCACCTGAAATAAACACCATGATTATACCCACACTTTCTAAAGAAAGTTAGGGTATATTGTTGTTATTCATGTCCGTCCGTCCGTCCGTCTGTCACACTTTTCTTCCCTGAACTCCTCCTACATTTTACATAGTAGCTTAATCATCTTTTGGGAGATGGTTGGTGGTGTCATGTAGATGTGCAGTAATGTTTCGGAATTTTGACTTTGCCCTGGGGGTCAAATGGGGGTCGAAAAATGACGTTTTTTATGCTAAAAGCCCCGTCTTCCCTGTACTCCTTCTACATTTTACTTAGCAGCCTAATCATCTTTTGGGAGATGGTTGGTGGTGTCATGTAGATGTGCAGTAAGGTTTCGGAATTTTGATTTTGCCCGGAGGGGGTCAAATGGGGGGTCGAAAAATGATGTTTTTTTATGCTAAAAGACCCGTCTTCCCTGAACCCCTCTTACATTTGACTCAGTAGCCTAATCATCTTTTAAGAAATGTTTGGTGGTGTCATGCAGATGTGCAGTAAGGTTTTGGAATGTTGATTTTGCCCCCGGGGGTCAAATGGGGGTCAAAAAATGACGTGTTTTATGCAAAGAGCCCCAAAGACGGTTAGTGGTCTCATATAGATGTGCAATAAGGTTTCGGAATTTGCATTTTGCCCGGGGGGTAAAATGGGGGTAGATTTTTTTCATATTTGATATGTTTAATCACTCTGCTTTCAAGAAGTTCTCTAATATTTTATGCAATATCTTTAAACCATGATCACCCCTTCCCAGACAGCTGTTTATTCATGTATGCAAACTACTACTTGTTTTTACGTTAAAATGTTAATGTATTCAAATACTTTAATGTGGTTCATCTCTTTGAATGATTTTCATTCCTAATTCTAGGAGGATGGGTTGATGGATAAAATGTCAAGCAATCTTATCATTGATGCACTTTTATCTAATTTAATGCAGTCATTTAAGG